AAAAAAAAAAAAAGTCCAGTATAATCAATGCTTGGAAGGAATTACAGGAAAACTAGAATCTGGTGACCTGCTGGATGCTAAAGCCCAGTCTTTCCCTGGCAGTGATAGTTGGGAAAGAAGCAATCCTTTAAAAACAGCAGTGGGCTCCCCACTGGGAAATGTGGGTTGGTGAGGCCATCAGGGTCCATGACCATTTTCTCTCATGGGATGCGGAGTGCTGCTGACTCTGAAGGGATTCAGGCACTTTGAGATTTTTATCTTGATCTGTTTTTTCGGTCCCCATATGGTGTTCTTGTGCTTTGAGACACCAGGAAGAGCTGAAGCAGTGCAGACTTCCTGTCCTCTGGGCAGAGCCAACACTCATGTACGTTAATGACTTCCTTAGAGAAATGGCCTTTCCCAAGAAGGGACTGTCACCGCAGTCCTGAGGCTGGCATCTGATAGGACGAGGAGGCTGGCCTAGAAGGGCAGGGACAGTAGGCAGTGATGGAGGCTCTCCACCCCTCCCCACTTGCGTGCCACAGATGTTCACCAGCCCCAAGTGTTTGACTTTGGAATCTTGATGTGACATGTAACTGGAAGACTTCTGTGCCAAGGATGGCCTTGGAGAGTTTTTATCACCGTGTCCTTCTGGAGTCCTCGAGTACCCACAGCTCACGGACTCCTGTCTTCTGTCTATTTCCAGGAGATTTTTAACTCAAGGGCACACTTTACCTCAAGCAGAGTAACATAGTCAGTTTTTTAGGCTTGAGGATGTGGAATGGAAAGTTGTCCCTTGCAACTGATTGGATCCTGAGAAGGGAAGATTAAAAATCCAGAAGGCAGGAGAGAATTCCTTGAAACTGAGCAAAGTTTAGAGATGCAAATGATGTTAAAGAGGGAGCAGTTGTGATTTGCATCACCTCCTCTCAGTGCGGGGATCTGTGAGAAGAGTCCAGGTGACCTTGCTCCAGCACGAGGGAACACATTTCTCAGCCTGGTTCGGGGTTGGGTTTCATCTTTCGATAAGGGTTAATAATGGACTGCTAATGAACTAAAGGTGATTAGAGAGATCATGCTGCTCTGGAACTCACCTGACACTTTTCTGGGGCTTAGTTAATAAAAGGCAGCATGATGCTGGGAATCATGGTGAATATAAGGTAAATGTTTCATGGCAGATTTCAGCCCCACAAAGTGTGCTCTAGATGTTAGTTGAACAGGTTTTCTCAGTGGCCTTCCACATGAGGAAACTCCTCATAGCTTGTGTGGCTGCCTGTGGTAAGTGACCAACCGGAAGTCTGTTTCAGAGGTGGGCATGGCTGCAAGTAAAGCTTGTCTTGGGATTTTAGCCCAAGGAACACCCAGCTTGTATGACTTGATCATGCCACTGGCAGCATTTCATTTCAGCCACTGGCAGCTGTCTCTTGTGTTGAGGTTCCCTGGAGTGTGGGAGAGACATTCGCCACCCTTTATCCTGAGTTGGTGAGAGAGGAGGAGTGTAGGATCCTCCAAGAATGACTGCCAAGGCTATGTTGGGTCTTAGGATGGTTAGAATTGGGCTCCCCTCTGGCTAGATGGGGTTACTAGGAATTCCTCCCAGGCCAGCTGCCTATGGTCAGGACGGGACACATCCATCCAGACACCTACTTGAAGGACCTGTGGAAACAGGAAGCTAACTGTATGGCTGGGTTAGCACTGCTTTGGCGATCGTCATTTACAAGGTTATGTTGGCAATTTGGGTTTGCCTTCTGTACTTTCAAAAGTCCCCAGCATGGCAAGAGATTGGGTACACCCTTTCACTGCTTGTGTTATGCTGCTTATACTCACATGGCAGGTGGCACTTCTCAGTACATTTGAGGTAAATATCCTCTCCTAGGCAACTTACAGATGGAGTTGGGTGTGTTGAAGTTGTGTCTCTCTCTCTCTCTACCCCTCTGTCTCCCTCCTTCCCTCTCCCCCTCCTCTCCCTCCCCTCTCTTTCCTCCTCTCCTTCTCTCTGTCTTTCTGGCAGTACTGGGGATTGATTTTTTTTTTTTTTGGAAACAGGCTGGTTCACTGTGTAGTTCAGGCTGGCTTTGAAGTCACTAAGTAGTCCAGCTTGGCCCCAAACTGGCATCCTCTGTCTTACTCTCCATTGCTGAGATTGCAAGCGTGCTAGCTTAGTACTGGCCTTGTGCATGCTAGTCAGGCCCTCAGCCACTGAGCTGCATCCCCAGCACCCTCTCCTTTTTTATTTAAAGTTTTACTTTAAGATAGGGTCTCCCTGAGTTGTCCAGGCTGGACTTAAACTTGTGATCCTCCCCCTCTCCCTCAACCTCTCAGGTAACTGGGATTACAGGCGAGTTCTACCATACCTGGTATCTCTTGTTTTCAATTCAGTGAATAACCCAGAAAAATCCAATTACTCGCTAACTCTTTATTTTAAAGGTGTCAGTTCTCCCCAAAGTTGCTCATATCAGGGAGAGTGCAGGGACTGCCTGCATTTAAAAAGGCCAGTTTGAGGGCTAGTCCCTCTTAACGTATTTGAAATGCATCCTATCCAGCCTTTCTGTGTGGCAGAGATGTATGTTATGCAGGTAGTTTTTACTAGTCTGTAAATAAGTGCTACGAAAAATAACTTTAAAAAACAATAAGATGTTTGTCTCATACAAATATTATGTGTATTTAGCACTTGAAAATCAATTCTAGAATTTAAAAAAAACCCACAGACTGTTAAAAACCTAACTAAACTTTTTGAGAAATTTTAAATATCTAATAAAAATAATATGCCTTATTCAACTAGTGTTTTTAAAATTCTGGGTAGACTTTTAGAAATCGGTCGTTCTGTTGAAATACTAGAGACCTAACATAGTCAGACCTCTTAAACAAGACAGGAAGCGAATCGTGAGCAGGGTGGCCTTTTGGGGGGAGAGAACTAAGCATCACTATTGCCAAATGATATTTTTAATAATTTTAGGAAACAGGGAGCACAAGCCTTTTATTGTTTTAAAGTGTGAAAGATTAATGCCTCTTGGCATACTTTTGATTACAGATGTATGGTATCAGCCTCGACAAATCATAGTGGTAGAACTCTAGGTTATGACAGGAATAAAGGTTTACCTGATTTCTACAGAATGGCCTTAAAGATACTGTGGGCTCCTCAGAGCACCATGTTTTGGATGGAAATTCTTCACAGGTTGGAATGCCGAAAAAAAAATCTATTACTCACATAATTGAGTCCACTTTAGCAGAGCTTTTAGTTAAGATCAGTGGTGAAGAGTATCACATATGTGCCTCTTCCAGGAGTGCTGCCCGGCCACCAGGTGAGCCTGGGCTCTCCACCGGCCAGGTCAGAGCAGCCAGCGCCTGTCTGCACCCCTGCTGGACAGACTTGTTCACAGTCATAGAGCAGCCCTGGGCTCAGAAATGATGCTGGGAGGAGCAAAGCAGAATCACTCTTTCCTCGGTGTGGAAATGGGGAGAGGGGAAGTAGATGGCAGAAAAATGTGAATTGGTTCAGTAAAGCAGCAGCTGTGCCAGCCAGGCCTTCATCAGACAATGAACCAGCAGCTCTCAGCAGTCAGCACTGTCCACCGGACACCCCTGAGGTTCATTCCTGTCCCACGGAGTCCCTGGTCCTTGTCTTTCTGCCTGCCTGTGCCCCCATCCCTGTCAGTCAGGACTGCACCAGGTGGCTGACATCAGATACACTCCCGTGACACAAACTGCCAGCAAACTTTCTAAACTTGTATTTTAACTGTTAAGAGGTTAAAACTTTTGCTTAGAACATGTCCAAGTTATGGACTATGGTTCTTATTTTTAGAAATCGATCTTTATGTTCAAAAGTTGAAAAGAAAAAGAAAAACCTTCTGGGGTATTGGTAA